TCCCTCAGGGATGATTTAATCTAAAAGTCACAGAAATAGCTTATAAAAAGATTTCACCGAGACATACAGAAACTCTGGTACATGCATTGAAAGAGACATGAGGTGATTCTAAGAGCGAGAGGGACAGAAAGGAGAGATGCTGGCAGGTGTAAGGACAGAGGGCCCGAGGCCGGGGGATACCAGGCAAGGGAACCATACCCAGTCCACACGTGAGACACGGCCTACATGCAGACTTAAACCAGGACCAGGCCGGTGGGCAGGGCAGAGTCCTCTGTATGCTTCGGGGTAGCGGAGGGAGGCTGAGGAGAGGCCATGGGAAAAGCTGTTGGGGAAGGGAGGGTATACGGGAAGAGAGGCCAAAGCAGCAGCTGTTACGTCTTCAGCCAAGAACATTCCACATGAATGCCAGGATCTGGTTGGACTGTGTGTGTGCGTGTGTGCTTGTGTTTGGAGCATGTATTTACATAAATGTAAATTCATCTCTGTGCAACTCTTCTCTTCTCCCTTTTCGCTATAACCTTCCTGTCCTGCCTTCTTCCCAGTCTCCCACCAGCACAGGAAAGTCAGTCTCCCCTACATTTCTTTGTGGCATTTCTAGATGTTTCAAAGACCACTGCCCTCTACTTCTGACATTCTGACATCCATGCCAAATGATGTCATTCTCATCAATTCCTCACTTTCTCTCAGGCCTTGGTCTGGCTCACTAGATGATTTTAGCTCCTGAAGGATGTTTTTCCTCTTCTCTCAGATTCTTCCTTGGGTCAAAGGTATGCTGACATAGTCCAGGGCCCTCTCTCTCTTATCCACACTAGCTCCTCTTGGCAAACCATGCTGCAGACCCCCTATCCCAAGGTGCTTCCCCTTTCCCATCACAATTCTTGCCTGTACTGACCTCTTTTCTACCCTTCCTTTCTTCACTTAAGTCTACTAGTCTGCTCAGACTAAAGCATGGGTGTCAGAGTTAGAGAAACCTGGGCTGAATCCAAGCTCTGCCCCTTACTCCCAGTGCAAGTTCTTTAACCGCTCTGAGCCTTGTCTAGAATCCGTCCCCGCTGGGGCTGTGCAAGCAAACAGGAGGGGTGTTTAAGCGTGGAGCAGTCAACGGGGACCTTCCACACCCTCGCTGCCTCGGGATGGCACGCCATCTTTCTCCCTGACGAAGTGCTCTCTAGCGCATCGCCCTGTTTATCAGATTCGTTCACTTACGGACATCCCACTACACATGCCAGCCAGGGTTCTAGACACTAGGGACAGGACGCGAACAAAGCAGACCAAAATCTCTGCCTTGTGGAGCTTACATTTTGAAGGAATCCAGCAACAGACATATTAATATGTAACAGAAATAAGAGCTAACTCTCAAATGTTCAAAGAGAATTCTGTTATCTGCTCAGTGTAACACAGAAGCATGAAGATTAAAAACAGGAAGGTTGGTGTCAGAAAGACCCAGTTCAAACCCAAAATCTGTCACTGAATAGCTACATGATCTAAATTTCTCTGAGCCTATTTCGTCGGTAAAATAGAAATATTACTACATATCTCACAGGGTTAAGGATTAAATGAGACTGTATGTGGCCATCACTTAGCACAGCTCTTCATATATAACAAGTATTAAGGAGGGTTTATACTCAATAAAACCAGGGAGGCATTACAGACAGACCTCGTTTTGTTGTACTTGGCTTTACTTTGGTTCACAGATATTGTGTTTTTTTTTTACAAATTGAAGGCACGACCCTTCACCAGCAAAACGATTACGGCTCGTTTTATTGCCATTCTTGCTTTACCGCGGTGGTCTGGAACCACACCTGCGATATCCCCAAGGTACGCCTGCACTGTCCTTTGCTGACACCCCTCAATTGCCGTTCATTCTTCTGTGACGCCACAATACCATTCGGCTATTCTGCCTACAATAATCTCATCTTTTTCAGAAACCTTTCTTATATTTATGATCATACGAAGTTCGATGACTAACTTTTCCCGCCACTTTTTTGCCTATTTAGTCTGCGTATCTTAGTCTTGCTTTCCCAACGATGTTATAAACTCCCTGAGACGAGGGGTCATGTTTTGTTTTACTTGTATCTACTTTCTGTATCTTAAGCATCTATCATCGTATCAGAAATCAGAAAGCTTTGCTGATCTACTGACTCTGCCGCCTCTACAGAAAAACTTGACGGTCGGTTGGGAAAAGTAGGTAGAAGGAATTGTGGGAATTTGAAAGCTTTGGGGAAAGGCGGCAGAAGGAAGGAAAGCAGAAACAGAAGGGAGAAGGGGATTTCCTTCCGGGGCTAGAGAGCTCTGGCTCCCATTCCAACTAGGGGTCCTGTTGAGCTGCCTTTACCTCTGTCTTTCCCATTCTGCATCTTCTCTTCTTCTTCCTCTGCACCTTCCTCTGCTGTGAAAACAAGTCCAAGGAGTCCCGTGACCCTTCAGCAGAGGACAAGCATAGAAGGGGGGTAAAGGGAGTAACTCAGGAGGCTTGGGATGAAACCCTAGCTAAAGGCTCACGGCTGAAGCCTCGCAGGTGCTTACCTAGTTTGCATCCTGTGTGGTCCGCACCCCAACCCTGTTTAACGGGATCTACCCAGAAGTCCTGAGCCCTTAGAAACAGAGCAGACTGATGTCACCTATCCTGTTGCTGGCTTCCCTGGTGACTGGTGTGGGGGTGGCTGCCTCTTCTCTATGCCTGTTTTCTCTAGGGTGATGACATCCTCTAGGGATGCAGCTAATATCTTGCATTCAGGTTAAAGAAAGCAACCATAAAAGTACATGGCGGGGAATGCCTAGATTAACTGTCCTCCGTAAAAACAAACAACTAGAGGTTTTAGCTGACGACAATCTTAAAATGCCTGAACAGTGCAATGTGGCTGTGTGTGTGTGTGGGGGGGCGGCGAAGAATGTCACCTAAGTTTGCTTTGGCAGTGGCCTGCTCAGGGAGGTCACAGTTCACTGTCCTCTGCTGTGATATGGAGACTGAGCCCTGGGAACTCAGCTACATGCCGGCGTGGGTGAGCAGGATGGTGAAGTAAAAGCCATGTTACATTCAAGATGGCTGAGGGAACTGCGAACAGTGCCTGAAGAGGGGCAGGCTTAGGGAGAACCGTGTTGTCTGCCATCCAATACCTGAAAGGCGACACGAAGAGGAGGGACTGAACTTACTCTGGGTAACTTTAGAGGGTGGAGTGAGGATAAATCGGTTACAGAAGGCAGATTTCGGCTCCCTGGTAAGAAAGAACTTCCCAATGATGAGAGCTGGTCATGAATGAGCTCAATGGAAATGTTCAAACAGAGGACTTTTAGATCGAGAGGTGAGCTAGAACAAATGACTTCTAAGATCCTATCCAACTCTGATTCCATTATTTATAAAAATATTTCAAAAAAGAGGAGAAGGGCAAGCTAGGGATATAAATAGTACAGAATATATATGTAAAGATACTCTGAGTATCTAATCTCACCCCAACAGCCACTTCCACAGTGACTGAAAATGTGCTGGTGTTGGGTAAGGCTCTTCCCTTCCCTGAGAGACTGGCAGCCTCACATGTAAAAGGAATTTATTTCTGCATTTTATAGAGATACTGCGCCACGTGTGGACTTAGTCCACATCGACTTATGGACTTCAGAGCTTGAGAGAGCAGAGCATCAGTGAAAGGCTCCCCGGCGGGGCTGCAGATGTGACATCTTGTCCTATGTGGGGATGAGGGCGATGCTAAGGGCATGGGCTTAATGTGCTTAAGACTTAAGTTCTGGGACCAGCTTTGCCTCTTCGAGCTGCAGAACTTTAGGTGAGTCACTCTTCTGATAATCACTCGCTGGATTTCTAAAGTAAGGGGACTGAACCACGTGATCTCTAAGGCACCTTCCAAATATCTTAATTTTGTTAAAACCGTCCATTCCTACTATGAGAGATTGCCAAGTATCCCCCTAAACTTTTAGTTTTTGTGAAGCTTTGTGTTTACTGATGTCCAGTTACCTCTCGTCCCAGTGTGAGGACCTCATGAGCCACTTATTTTACATAAACTGTAGTAAGTGGCCACTAGGCACAAGTGTGGTTAATTCCATGACTCTAAATCTCCTAAGAAATTCCCGTGGGGTTTCTGGCATCTGTGAGGAGCTGTATTAGGGAAGGCACTTCCTAGTCAGGTGTGAATTCACCTCAAAGGCTGTCACCTCGTCTGTTTACACATGTATGCATGGGGGCAGAGCTTCTGATGGGGCCTGAGAAATGGTACCAGAATACAGAAAGTGTCACATTAATGTTCCCTGCACAGGAGAATCGGCATCTTAACTGGGTTGGAAATACAACCTAGGCCACACACTTATTCTCTTCTAAATGAAAATAGGCAGATTTGAGAGCAAAGCCGTGGACTGATGATTTCAACGTATGTGTCTGAATAAGTGTGTGCGTTTGAGCAGCGCGTGGAAAAACTGCTTTATATTTTTATTTAATAACCTTGTTAAGCTCCTTCGATGCATTTAAAAGCACCACATTAAGTGAAAAGAAACAAAAGGGCCATCTGCGTGAGTGACCTACGGCAAGGGAACCCACTTGTTTAATATATAACATGGGAATCTGACCGCTGTCAAAAAGTTAGTAAACATCTGGAAGCTACGAGACTGATGGAGTCACAGGGATTCTTAATGACATGATGATATGGGAGTGGCCCTTTTTCCCTCTCTCTCTGTCCTGGGTTTTATGTAAGGAGGAAAAGGCCATGAGGTAAAGGTCTCTGGAAAATCGATGAAATCTAAGTGAGGGAGAGACTGAGAAAGAAGACAGACATGAGGCTGCATATAAGGAAGGAAGGAAGGAAGCCACGGAGGCGGGTCATGAACTTCACGTGAAATCAGAGCCTAGTCATGGACAGAAGGAGAGACTAGGGTTTCAAAACCGAATCCAGTAGGAGAGAGCAGAAAGGCAGCTGGGAGAAAGTCCAGGAGTTTTTGTGGCCGATTCGGCTCCAGTCGTCCAGGGAAGCTTCGGAATGAGGTGGACGGTCAGGCCTAGGGAAAGGGCAGCTGCGGACAGAGCACGGACGGGAGACACATTAAGTGAGGAAGGGGCCTCCCTGTACTTAGAGATGGGAGCTTCTTTAACTTCTGAACTGTCTGCTCTCCAGGGTGTACTCGTCAGAGAAACCTAAATGTGTTATCATCTCTGAGATCGTGCGTGGCAGAGAGCCCCTCCGTGGGAAGACATCCGGCGCGTTCCTAGAAGGCAAAAAGGCCGCGTGGGGAAACGAGGCGGGGCGTGCTCCGGGCGGACGTGTCACCCCGAGGACGACGCGAGCTGGGCGTGCGGACTGAAGGGGAGGCGTGAGGCCGGGCGGGAGCTCTGGGCTTCACCTGAGTGGAGCTCCTTCACCAGGGATGACATGGTGTTGGTGATGGAGTCGGCAGCCACCAGCAGGTCATTGCGGAGGTTTCTCCTCGTACCTGAGGAGAGTCAGAGCAGATGGCGATGCCAGGTGGGTGGACGTGGAGGAGAGAGAGCAGAGTAAATGACTCCGTCTGCCAGGCCCTTGGACGTGGGGTGGAATACCGAAGGGGAGATGGGGCCACAGCAGCTCGACCTGCTCCCAGACACATCGGGAGCATGAGGTACCCAAGTCCGTTGTTCTCCTCCCTCTTCTTTTCTACTGGAAGAGCAGGGCCCTGTCAACTCCATGCTTCTTAGCCCCAACCAAAAGAGCTGGTCCCAGAGCAAACACTGATCCAAGGAGCTCCTCGGCCTCAGGCGGGCCTTCGCTCTCCAGCGCTTCCCCCTCCCTGCTTTTTGTCTCCACCCCAACGATCCTTCCTTAGCCACCTCGTCTTCCCCCAACTACGTCACATTGCTGGTCGCTAGCTCCCTAGATGACTGTGGCAATCGCATGCTGAGTGTCCCTTCGGCAAGGTCCTATTTGGAGTTCTACTCTTCCTTCTCTTGCAAGTGCCCTCACTAGCGAAGGCCCTGCCCTCTTCTCTTAGATTGCCCCATCCTCTCTCTCTCAGAGGCCTGGCTGGGGTTCTATTCCTTGGGGAGGCCTTCCAGGGCAAGCACATACTTTGGGGGAATTAATCCATTCAATCCCTCTGGAGGAAGCAAAGCCCAAAGGACAAGGCACTTCTCACAACCCGGTAAAAAGAGCACAGAAGCCCACGAGGCCTGTTCTTCGCACGCATGCTAAACCTACAGACCTCCTGTTGGAGACCAGACCATCCAAGGAGAACAGGCCAGCATCTGACTTATTTATACCATAGATAAAAATCTGAGAATTTAAAGCTAAGCACACAGAAGACAAGACATGGGAAAAACCTCAGTGAGAATCTCGTCTGTGTTTCCAAACCCCTTCAGCTCTCCATCATACTCTGTTTCCAGAACTCACCTTGTGCAAAGGCCTCCTGCATGTCTCCGCCGACTCCGCTCAGTGAGTCCTGCGGGCAGTGGGTGGGTGTGGAGCCAGCAGATGTTGAGCGGACGGGCATGGGCATTGGGTGGCCACCTCCGTGAGTGGGCGATGTATGTGGCGATCCTGTGGCCTGAGCCTGGGAGAATCGAAGGGATAAAAGACGTTATCTCAGGTATCTTACCTCTTTGAAGGGGGAAAGTCTGTTGTCTGAGTCAATCTGAGTCAGCTGACAGGGTTTCAGTTCAGCGGTGCACTGCACTGCGTGATCACGTTTGAAAGGAAGGAGTCAGGCTCCCTCCGGGACTAGAGAGAGGAAGAAAAGGTAAAAAGAAAGAGAGAGGGGGAGAGGCCAAAAGGGGAGGAGGGAGACAGAACATCATAAGAATGGACTAAAAGTGGGAGGGAAGCAGAGCACAGGGGTGGGGGGCCTTTCAGGTAGACAGACTAAGCAGCGTAGCTGAGTTGGGGATCTGAGAGGGGTTGGGGTCACACAGTCGGGAAATAATACACAAGCACCTTTCATTTTTCTTTGCAAACACAGTCATGGACATTATCTCATTTGATCCTCACGATACCTTGTGAGTAGAAAGGATATGTATTTTGGTATCTATTTTATAGGAGAAAAACAAGGATGAATGAGTAAGAGCTTTGTGTCACGCTATACAGCTCGTCGGTGGGAGATGCTGGGCTAACCCTCCCACTTCGAGGGCAATGATGCATACTCGGCCCCTCTGCAGTTCCCAGAGCACACAGAACATGTGCCTGAGTTTGTGTGTCAGGAGCTCAGAGGCAGGTAGGCTGCTTCCCGGGAACTGAGTCATCTGGCCTGTCACACTGCACGTGTCAAACACACACAGCGAGCTCTTTCGTGGGCCATCCTGTGGGGACTAGGTAAGAATGGACACACGTTTATTGGAACTAAACTTCACTTATGAAAGCTCTGGTGCAGTTCTGGAGAAATCTTGGAGCAATGGGATAAAGTTTAAAACTCTAGCTAAAGGGAGCTCACTGAGATTTAGGCTCTGCTGCCCCTCAAAGCATGGGCAACTGAGTGTGGCAGATAGACTGGAATTTTTTGTGGAAGCAAAACTGGGAACATATAAGCCAGAGTGTGCAAATGAGTGCAAATGAAGATCATTATCTTTTTTTGGATCTAGCTCAGAAAACCCACATACAAGCAGAATCTGCCCGAACAGGCTACCAGGCTTTATGCACAAAGCCTCACCTCAATGCTGCAACCAGTGTGGGCGCTGGACTAAACAGAAACGGTCTGCAGATTGTTCTCCATCGTCCCTACTTTGATGTATGTGTGTTTGGATATGTTTTAATTTGAGAAATTAAAAAAATACAGAAAGTAAAAAAGTATAATGTAATATACCAGTCAAATTGATAATGTTAATACTGTATCAAATTTATTTCAGCCTCAAAACAATGCAGATAAATCTGCAGTCAAATGCTCTACCCTTGAGCTACACACCCTGATTAGATAAATCTGAAGACCCCTTTTGCCACCAATTCAGTTCCCTCGCATTATCCCTTCAGAGATTACATTATCAAAGATTCTGCTGTGAAATACTGAACCTATGTATACATATGAAACTATGAATAATATATGATATTTCATGCTTTTAAATTCTGCATGAATAGTATCATACCACACATATCATTTTGCAATTTGCTTTCATCACTTAGCATACTTTTTTGAGGTCTTTCCATGATTCAAATAATATGAATTTAGACTCTTATCTCACATTATACAGAAAAACTAACTCAAAAATGGATCATGTTAAGCATAAGAAAACTATAAAACTCTTAGGAAAAAAAGATTAGGCAATGACTTTTTAGATATGACAAAAAGCACAGCTACAAAAGAAAAAATAGATAAATAGAACTTCATCAAAATTAAAAACTTTTTTCCAAGGACACCTTTAATAAAGTAAAGGACAAGTCACAGAATGAAAGAAAATTTTACAAACCATATATCTGATAAGGCAGGGGACCCTAACCCACGGGCTGCAGACCGGTAACTGGTCTGTGGCCTGTTAGGAACATGGCTGCAAAGCAGGAGGTGAGCAGTGGGTTGAGCCAGCAAAGCTTCACCTGTATTTGTAGCCACTCCCCAGCGCTGGCATCACCGCCTCAGCTCCACCTCAGATCATCAGGCATTAGATTCTCATAGGAGCACCGGTCCCTGGTGCCAAAAGGGTTGGGACCACTGTGATAAGGGATTTGTATCTAGATTATATAAAGAACTCTACGTTCAATAATAAGAGAACAAGTAACCTAATTTAAAAGTGGGCAAAAGATCTGAGTAGATATTCTCCAAAGATATACAAGTGTCCAATAAGCATATGAAAAGATGCTCAACATCATTAGCCATCAGGGAGAAGCAAATTAAAACCACAATGAGATATCATTTCACACTCATTAGGATGACTATAATAAAAAAGACAAATGATAACAAGTGTTGACAAGAATGTGGAGAAATCGGAACCCTTGTAATCTGCTGATAGGAATCTAAAATGGTACAGCTGCTTTGGAAAACAGTCTGGCAGTTTCTCAAAAGGTTAAACACTGAGTACCATATGACCCAGAAATTCTACTCCTATGTGTATATACCCGAGAGAAATGAAAACTTATGCCTTCACAAAAATTTGTACACAAGTGTTCATAGCGGCGTTATATGTAATAGCCGAAAAGGGGAAACGATCGAAATATCCATCGACTGATGAATGATTGAAATAAAACATGGTATATTCTTACAATGAAATATGAGTCAGCGATAAAAAGGAATGAAGTACCGATGCATCTACAACGTGGACAAATCTTGAAAATGTGCTAAGTAAAAGAAGCCAGTTACAAAACCATGTATTATTTGATTACATTCATAGGAAATGTACAGAATAGGCAAATCTATAGAGACAGAAAGTAGATTAGTGGTTGTCTGGGGCTGGGAGACTTGGGAGGAATAAGAACTGTGTGCTAACAAGTGTAGGGTTCTTTTTGGGTGATAAAATGTTCTGAAATTGATTGTGGTGATGGCTGCACAACTCTGAATAAATTTAAAACCACTGAATTGTACACTTTAAAAGGGTGAACGGTATGGTATGCAAAGTATATCTCAATAAAACTATTATAAAAAAGATACCACTAAGAAAAATAAAGATAAGCCATAGACTGGGAGAAATATTTGCAAATTATATCTGATAAGCAACTTGTGGGTCTTTGCAAAGATTGTTTTTTGGATTTGACACTAAAAGCAAAGGTAACAAAAGCAAAAATAAACAAGTGGGACTCCATCAAACGAAAACGCTCTGCACAGCAAAAGAAACTATCAACAAATGAAAAGGCAACCTACCAAATGAGTGAAAATATTTGCATGTCATATATGTGATAAGGAGTTAATACGCAAAATAAATAAAGAACTCATGCAACTCAATACCAAAATAACAAATGATGAGATTAAAAACTGGGTAGAGGAAGTGAACAGACATTTTTCAAAAGAAGACATACAAATGGCCAACAGATATATGAAAAGGTGTTCAACATCATGAATCGTCGAGGAAATACAAATCAAAACCACAATGAGATATCACCTTACACTTGTTAGGATGGTTATCATCAAAAAGACAAGAGCCAACAAGTGTTGGCAAGGATGTGGAGAAGAGGGAACCCTTGTGCACTATTGGTAGGAATGCAAATTGGTGTAGCCACTGTGGAAAACACTATGAAGGTTCCTTAAAAAATTAAAAATGAAACTACCACATAATCCAGCAACCTCGCTTCTGGGTAGATATGCAAAGAAAATGAAAACAGGATCTTGAACAGATATCTGTACTCCCAAGTTTGTTGCAGCATTACACACAATAGCTGAAATATAGAAACACCTTAAGTGTATATCAATGGATGAATGGATAAAGATGTGGTGTATGTGTACGATGGAATATTATTTGGCCACGAGCAATAAGGAAATCTTGCTGTTTGTGATAACATAGATGGACCTTGAGTACATTATGCTAAGTGAAATACGCCAGACATAAAAAGAAAAATACTATATGGTATCATTTGTACGTGGACTCTAAAAGAAGTCAAACTCATAGAAAAAGGGGCTGGGGGAGAGGGAATTAGGGAGAGGTTGGTAAAAGCGTACAAACTTTCATCCAGAAGATAAATAAGGTCTAAGATCTAATGTATAACATGGTGACTGTAGTTGATAACACTGTATTATATAGTTGAAATTTGCTGAGACTAGAACTTATATGTTCTTATACACACACGCAAAGGATATATTTGTGAGGTGATGAATTTATTAATCAGCTAGATGGAGGAATCCTTTCATTATGCATATGTATATCAAATCACCACAATGTACACTTTAAGTATCTTATAGCTTTATATGTCAATTACACAAAGCTGAAATAAAACACGAAAACTAAAAAAAAAAAAAAAAAGACCTTGTGTCCAGAACATATAGAGAACTCTTAAAACTGGATTATAAGACAAACAACCCAATTATAAAACAAAGATTGAATGTACATTTCACAAAAGAAGATGTACAAATGGGCTAATAATCCACATGAAAAATACTCAATATGAGTAGTTATTAGGAAAATGAAAACTGAAATCACAATGAGATACCACTTACCAACTGAAATAGCTACAGTCAAAAAGACTAACAAGGATGTGGGAAAGCTGAAGCCTTTATACATTGCTGATGGGACTGTAAAATGGTACAACTACTTTGGAAAACAGTTTGGTAGTTTCTTAAGATGTTAAACATAAACTTACCATATGATCCAACAATTTTACTCTTGAGTATGTGCCCAAGAGAAATGAAAACATATCCACCCAGTACTTGTACACAGATGTGTATTAGTAATAGTTTAATAGGTCAAAAGTGGAAATAACCCAAAAGTCCACTGACTGGTAAATGGATTAACAAAATGTGGTTTATCCATTATATACCAATGATGAATTTTTGGAAAGAGAAATTAAGAAAACAATACCATTTACAATTGCATCAAAAACAATAAAATACCTAGGAATCAAATTAACCAAAGAGGTAAAAGACCTGTTCTCAGAAAACTATAAGTCATTGAAAAAAGAAATTAAAGAAGGTACAAATTAATGGAAGCA